TGGTCCTGGACTTTTACTTTTGGGGAGGTTTTTGATAGTTGTTTCAATGTCCTCACTGCTAATTGGTCTATTTAGATTTTCCAGTTCTTCATGATTTAGTCTAGGCATGTAATATATTTCTAGGAACTTATCCATTCTTCTAGGTTATTGAATTTGGTGGCATATAGTCTTTCATAATATTCTAGTATGATCCTTTGTGTATATGTAATGTCTGTGGTGACTTCTCTCTCATTTCTGATTTTGTTTATATGATAAAGGGGACACTACATCAAGAAAACATAATGCTTCTTAATATATATACACCCAAACAGGGAGCACCGCATATATAAAGCAACTACTCACAGAACTAAAGGAAGAAACAAATCAAAACACAATCATAGTTAGGGACCTTAATACTCCATTGACAGCTCTAGACAGATCAACCAAACAGAAAATCAATAAAGAAATATATGATTTCCCTTTTTTTCTTAGTGAGAATCTAGCCAGGGGGGTTGTCAATTTTATTTATCTTTTCAAAGAACCAGTTCTTTTTTGTATTAATTTTTTGTATAGTCTTTTTGTTCTCTATTTCATTCAATTCTGCTCTAATTTTTATGATTTCCTTTCTTCTGCTGACTTTGGGTTGCTTTTGTTCTTTTTCTAGTTCTTTAAGATGTGATGTTAGGTTGTTTACTTGGGATTTCTCCTCTTTCTTGAGATAGGCCTGTAATGATATGAACTTCCCTCTTATTACTACTTTTGCTGCATCCCAGAATTTTGATATGTTGTATTGTCATTCTCATTTGCCTCTATATATCTTTTGATCTCATTTTTAATTTTTCTTTGACCCAGTCATTTTGAGTAGTATGTTGTAGGTTTCTTTACTTCCTTTTTTCAGTTGATTTCTAGTTTCAAGGCATTGTGGTCAGACAATATGGTTGGTACCATTTCAATCTTGAATTTGTTGATGCTAGTTCTGTGACTCAGCATATTGTCTCTCCTTGAGAATGTTCCATGTGCACTGGAGAAGAATGTGTAACCTGATGTTCTAGGATGAAAGACTCTGTAAATGTCAATTACAATGTCCATTTGGTCTAGCGTTTCATTTAAGGCCGATATTTCTTAATTGGTTTTGTTTGGTTGATCTGTCTACAGCTGTCAATGGAGTATTAAGGTTCCCAACTATGATTGTGTTTTGATCTGTTTCTTCCTTTAGTTCTGTGAGTAGTTGCTTTATATATTGTGGTGCTCCCTGGTTGGGTCTCTATATATTAAGAAGCATTATGTTTTTTTCTTGTTTTTTTAAATATATCTTTATTGATTTCAGAGAGAGGAAAGGAGAGGGGGAGAGAGAGAGCTAGAAACATCAATGATGAGAGAGTCACTGATCGGCTGCCTCCTGCACGCCCCTGACTGGGGAATCGAGCCTGCAACTGCCCTGACCGGGAATGAATCCCGATCGCCTGGATCCTAGGTCGACGCTCAACCTCTGAGCCATGCCTGGCCAGGCAGCATTGTTTTCTTGATGTAATGTCTCCTTTATCATTATAAAGTGTCCATCTTTTTCTCTTGTTATCTTTGTTGTCTTGAAGTCTATGTTGTCAGATGTAAGTATGGCTACACCTACTTTTTGGTGGATGTTATTTGCTTGGAGCATCATTTTCCACCTTTTTACTTTGAATCTATCTTTGCCTTTGCAGCTTAGATGTGTCTCTTATAGGCAGCATATGGTTAGGTATTGTTTCTTGATCCACTCTGCTACTCTGTGCCTCTTTATTGGTGAGTTCCAACCGTTTATATTTAGGGTAATTACTGATGTGTGAGGATTTCCTATAGCCATTTTACCTTTTGTTTTCTGGTAGCTCTGTGCCTCCATTGGTTCTCTTCCTTTGTACTTCTGTCTGTTGTTTTTGTTTGGTGGTTTTTCATACTTCTTTCCTCTGTGCCCTCTTTTATTAAGCTATGTGTTCCTGGTTTGGGGATTTTTGTGTGTGGTTACCATTAGGTTTATAAAAATTGAAGTTGCATCTATACAATAGTATTTTGTCTTCTGAGTTCCTCCTCCTTTGCCAGTTAAGACCTTTACCCCTCCCTTTTTATGTTTTTGTAGTCACAAGTTATCCCTGTTTATGCTGTAAGTTTTTTGGTGATCTTATTCATAGTGTTGTGACCTTATGTTCTTTGTTTCAAATAGAATCACTCCCTTGAGTACTTCCTGCAATGGAGGTTTTCTGGTGATAAAATCCTTCAGCTTCTGTATGTCTGGGAATGTCTTTATTTCTCCTTCCTATTTATAGGATAATTTTGCTGTATATATTATTCATGGCTGGTAATTTCTCTCTTTCAGACATTTGAATATATGGTTTCACTCTCTTCTGGCTTGTAGAGTTTCTGTTGAGAAGTCAGATGAAATTCTGGTGGGTTTTCCTTTGTAGGTCACTTCTTCCTTTTCCCTGCCTGCTTTGAGAATTTTTTCTGTATCAGTAATTTTTGGCAGTTTTAATACAATATGCCTTGGAGAGGGTCTCTTTGGATTGAGGTAACTAGGTGTTCTGTTTGCTTCTTGGATTCAAGGATCTAGTTCTTCCCATAGGTTTGGGAAGTTCTCATCCACTATATGTTTGAATAGACTCTCCATTCCCTTTTCCCTCTCTTCTTCCAGGATGCCTATTATTCTAATATTGCTTTTTCTGATGAAGGCAGATAGTTCTCGGGGGAGCTCTTTCATTTTTCTTTATGCTCAGGTCTCTCTATTCTCCCCTCTGCATCATTTCTAGGTTCCTATCTTCAATATCACTCATTCTTTCCTCCATCTGGTTGGCTCTGTTTTCTGTGCTCAGTAGCTCATTCCTAATCTCCTTAATTGCATGCTTCATTTCCAGGATTTCTGATTTGTTCTTTTTTAAAGTTTCAATCTCTTTGGTAAAGTTCATTGATTTGTTTTCTGAGTGTACTGAATTGCCTGTCTGTATTTTCTCACATCTCACTGAGTATTTTCAGAATTGCAATCTTGAAATCTCTTTCATTTATATCACATATTTCCATGTATTCCAGCTTGCTTTCTGGGGATTTTTCATTTTCTTTCTAATGATCCTCATTATCATGGTTGTTCATGGTATTTGCTACTCTCCTTTTTCTAGGCATAAATATCCTTTCTATAGCAACGTTCTCTGAAGAGGTCTTTCCACTATTTTTCAGTAGATGGCGCTGCATCACAGGGAGTTTTTACCTCTATGATTTCCCAGACTTGACCTCCGCTGGCTTATGTAAGATAGCACAGCAGCACGAGTTGGGGGTGGGGTTTGTTTTACCCTCACCTTAATGACGACCCAGACCTCCATGGAGTCCAGCCCCGAACACCAAACCCAGAGATCAGTCACAGAGGGAAGCAGCAATTCCACTGCAATAGCTCTTGGTTTACAGATAAAATGTTCCTCGACCCGACACTGAAGCAATGGGAGGCAAGTTTTGGGAGTCCAAGGGATGCCGGGGCTCTATGGTTCCATTTCTTTGTCAGAAACACCCCCACCCAGCAGTGGGTAGCTGCACAGCAGAACTCCGAGCTCTGTCAGACATCTACAGGCTTAATTGCTGTGCTCTCTGGTTGCCCTACTGGACTGCCCCTATAGTTCTCTGTTCCTCCCAGCTGAAGAAGCGCCTGCTACTGTCAACGTCCTCTCCTGTTTCAGCACACTTAGAGCTCCTGTCTGTAGGGCTGCGCCTGAGGGCCATCCCAGCTTTCCTCCCTTTTCTCCTCCTGACTTATTCCCAGTTGCCCACCTTTAGATGTTTTGATGGGTGGGTCTTTCAGGCATGCCTCTGTATTGAGTATGGAATTCTTTGTTGAATTATAGTTGGTTAACTTGTTGAAATTTCAGGGGGGGAGCCAAGGTGATCTCTCATGCTGGCATTCCTCTGACCCCTCCTAGGCTCTTTAGAAAGGGCATCTAATATTGCTTCTCCTTTTTAACCTCATTTGTATGTAAAATTTCTGGTGTGAGCACACCATTTTCCTTTCCTCTGTAGTGTTTAATACAATAGAAATAAAATAAATATTAGACTATTTTTTATTTTTTTGCTAATCATCACCCAAGGATATTTTTTCCATTGCTTTTCAGAAAGAAAGTCAAAAGGATGGGGGGAAGAGGAGAGAGAGAGAAAGAGAGAAACATCAATGTGAGACATACATGACCAGGGAGCAGGGAGTGAACCCACAACCCAGGTACATGCCCTAGACTGGGAATCAAACCAGCAAACATTTGGATGTGAAGGCCGGGGCTCTAACCACTAAGCTACACCTGCCAGGGCAGTACTGTTTTTATGTCTCCTTTCCTGTAAGACAAATTTTCAACAACTATACATATTTATTTTGTTAACTTGTATTTCTTGATGGAAATTACACCATATGTCACTTAGATATGCAACTTATACATATAATCTGAATAGAAATGAATAAATAAATTTTACTATTCATTCTTCAATATCATTTACACAATGAAGGTTTTGATTTTGATTTTATAATAAACAAATTTAAGAAGTTTTCTTTGATAAAAATTTATTTAAAAAATGAAAATTAATAACATGGAAAGGTAAACATGTTTTATAAGTTTAAATATAATGTAAAGGTGAACATGTAATTACATGATTTTTTAATATTATAGACATGATAGATGCAAGAAAGGACAGATGAAATAAACAAATACAGATAGATAATAGATGGATGATAGATGATGTAGATAGCTAGATAGATGATAGATAGATGAAAGATGATGATAGATAGATAGATGATAGATAGATAGATAGATAGATAGATAGATAGATGGATGATAGATAGATGATAGATAGATAGATAGATGGTAGACAGATGATAGACTAGCAGTAGGGCAGAAACCTCTTAGGGACTGATAAACCTGGAACTGAAATTTTTAAAATACTCTTATTCAAAAGTACTGATGATATATCTGCTGAATAAAATTCAGTAAATTCTGTGACTAAAGCAGAAATAAGAGCCTTTGACATGACCCAACACTCATGTGCAAAGGTGACCTGGCCCTTTTGTCACCGAGGATCATTTCCAGGAGGAGGCAGGTCTCGGTCCTTGTCGCTCAGCCTTTCCTGCAGGGTCCTTGCTGAAGAGAAGGCCCTCATGACTTCCACTCTGACCACTTCCCAGGCGCAGTCGCTGTGTCCCTTCCCTTTGAGGTAGAGCCGGATGCCCTGGAAGTACCTCTTCAAGGCCAGCGCAGGGCCCCGCGTCGCCAGGGCCGAGCCCTCCTCCGCCGTCCCCTGCCCCAGGCAGGCGTGCAGGTCCCCCAGCTGCCGGTGGAGCCCCGCGCCCAGCTGGCCCAGGAGGGTCGTGTTCCAGGCGGCAGGGGGGGGCGCTGTGAGCAAGAGGTTGAAGACCTGCTGGAGCAGCTCGTGGAGGACAGTGGCGGCCTGGGCCCCCTGCACCTCACGGCCCTCCACCGTTTGCCTGGGGAATCGGAAGTCTTTTCTGTCCTTGAGACACAAGAAAGGGGACATTGTGCTCATTTGGCTCAGAAGCACTAAGTTGTCCCCGCTGAGCAGGACGTGGTGCTGAGGCAGGTGACAGCCCAGAGACCCCCCGGGGCCACAGCTGAGCAGCAGCAGGGCCGAGAGGAGAGAGAGCAGGAGGGCCATGGGCGAGCGAGGGCGCTGCTGGCCTGCTGAGCTGGGCGCCTGCTGAACAGTCTGGGACCTCAGGTCCTCCAGTGACCTTCTTTCTAAGCATGGCCTTTAAATAGGAAGCATGTTTTCCCTTTCTAGACTCTTCTTTCTGTTTTCCCTTCCTTTTTTTACTTTCATTTGAGTTCTCCTTGTGGTCTAGGAGGATGTCATCA